TATATATATATATACTGTATATATATATGGGCTAAAAGTGATGGCTGATGATGGCGTTCCCATTAATGCGCTTGTGTTTAATGTGATACTGCTGCATGAGAAGACAATTCTCGGAAAGATTCAAGTGAGGTACAAAAACACAGAAGCAGATGAGGGGATGGGSGTGGCAAGAAAGACAAGGACAAAGACAAGTGTCTCATTTTAAAAAGCTGATGAGCGGCTGGAGAAAGAGTCCCAGAGTTCCCAGCACGCACACTGTCACAAAAACCCAAAGGAAAATCCTGTCGATGACCATGGCAACATACTTCCAGTCGTCCTCCACCTGAAGAGACAGAGGAAGGAAATGTCAGTATGTGTACAAAAAGAAACAAGATTTATCTAGTGCACCCTAAAAGCCTAAAATGTTCCCTCCATGTTCCTGGATTTATGTGAAAYTAGCAACAGCTACACATTGCGTTCAATCTGAGAGATTTTTTTGTGTATTCTCATGTGTTTTTGAACACTTTCTCACTTCATACAGCAGAATCAAGAAGCATCTGAACAGTTTCATTCTGCCACGTTAGAAACTCCTGAAACACACAGCCAGAGTCATTTAAAAAGTCTCTTTAGTGACGAGATAAACCAGAACGCCTCACGTCCTTCAGACTCAAGAACCCTCTGCGTTTGAGTGTTTCAGGTGTGCAGAACAAGATTATGACTAAGCTGGGACCATAAAGCTGCTGCCTTCTTGAGGAGTGTTTATGATTCTGAAAGCTTTTCCAGACAGATCCAAGAGTTGCTAAGAAAAGATGGAGCTGACGCAACAAAGATATCAGCACCATCCAGAGTGTGAGGAAGGAAGGCGTCCGCAAAGCCCCGCTTCTGTAACCACCAAGCGGCTTTGAACGCCCGATTTAGCCACGTGGAAAATGCTTTCTGCGCTGTTTACTGGGAAGGGTATGAATTAATCAAGCAGGCGGAGGAAACACATGGTGCTTTATGTGCATTTATGTGGGTTTCTCTGCTGTTTAAATTGTGTGTTAATCTGATGTTCACAAAATAGRTGGTATTTTGTCCCCCGTCGCTGAGGCATGGGACTTAGAAATGCTCTCTGTCCGTCCATTTGTCTGTCCGTCCATGACAGGGGACATCAGTGACGAGTTTTGTTTGTGCTGTGATCAAAGTAAGCTTTAAGAGAAAAGAGCTTTGGTACATTTCACGTTTGCTTTAGTTTTTCTTTTTATTTTAAATGTCAGATAACATACTGGTCTAGTGATTTAGACACATTTTGTTATATGGCTGAGCTTGGTGAGATAAAATACATTAAGTACTATTATACAATGAACTACAAATATGATATGATGTARCGGTATTTCCATAAATACTGGAATTAATGTCAAGCCCAATACCAAACTTTTTACAAGTACTTGTACTCATACAAAATGCCCCAATGCTYAGAGCACCTGGACAGGCTACAAATTTAAATATGACCAACTCATCATGWTATGAATTGTTTATGCACTCTTAAAAATAAAGCGTCATAAAATAATTTACTCAACTCGGTTTAGTGGAACCAATTTGGTTGTGTGTAAAAGTACTTTTTTACTTTCCTGATTATTGTGAGCAGTTTTATGAATTTTGCTAATGAACGTATTATATTAGTGAAATTAATTTTTATCAGTCATTTTTGTTAAGGTATTTTTACTTTTACTTAGTTACTACTGAGTAAGGAATTACTTTATATAAAGAAAGACACCTTGTTCTAAATAAACAAAATGTATTTTTAACATCATTGAATGATTTTTAGGTTCTAACTAAATATTCTGTATCAGTACTTGGAATAAAAGAGTATCCAAACTGAAGTACTCGGTTTGGGAAAAACTGGTATTGGGACACATATGATGTACTACAGAACAATATATACCATGTAAAGTGATGCAATGTGATGCAACATGATGGTCAATACAACAGGACGTGAAATGATGAAATTTAATGCAGCACAGTACTTAATATTATGAGGGACTTTGATACAATATATTATGATGTACTATACTTTCTTCTTCCTTGAAGAAATTTGCTTTAGGCCCGTTTCTGTCCCTGACATCTTTACAAAAATTCCTCAAATACTAGTAAAGTATTTACACAATATAAACAATCTCTTAGTAAAGCAAGTTGCACAGTTCTTATTTTAAATAAGAAAAACAAACATATATATTTACAGTTAAAAAAGACAATGGTGAACAGAATTGCATTATTTCATCAGCATTTGAAGACCATGTTTAAGATTTTGGTTGAAACTAAGATTCTGACATTAATGTAATAAAATGTCTATGTGTTGGAGTTTTTACCTCCTTGGCTTTGTTGCGAGTCCTCATGTTCTCTGCGATATACTTCACGCTCTCGATGGCCTGCTTGATCTCTGGTGACACCACAGAAAAGGCGACCACGGCGTTGACCGGCGACGAGGCGTTTAGGGGCCTCGGTACCTTCGGCAGCTCAGAATCCGAGGGCCCCTGAGTGGGAGTTGCCTGTTGAGGAGGAGGAGGCGGAACCATCGGGGGTGGAACAGGAGTCGGCACCTCCTTCCCTCTGTAGGGGAACCTCCTGGTCATGTCTCGGTTCAGGTCGCGGTTCATCTCACCGTACTCCACGCAATTCATGGAGCCGCCAGCTGAGGAGGTTCCTCCGCCTCCTGATCCGCTGTCCAGAGTTGGACACGGTACCCCCCCAGTTATACCACCAACACTTACACTGCCTGAGCTGCTCCCTCCTCCCACACTGTTCTTTCTCATCTTGAAACGCCCACTGCTGCCTCTTCCTCCTCTTCCTCCTCCTCCTCCTCCTCCTCCTCCCGTCCCTCCTGTAACTTTGGCTGGCGATGAGCAGCTCTGGTCAATGGGTCGCCTCATCAGCATCACTCTGGGTAACACCCCAAGGAACACCATCCTCACCCACTCCGGCATAGTATGAGTCATGGGCGTGCGGTAGTGCACGTTCAGCACGAAGACAGTGATGACGATGCTTAGCGTCACGAAAATCATGGTGAAGAGGAGGTACTCGCCGATCAGAGGGATGACGAGTGACGTGGAGGGGATGGTCTCTGTGATGACCAGCAGGAACACGGTGAGGGACAGCAGGACCGAGATGCACAGGGTGACCTTCTCCCCGCAGTCCGATGGGAGGTAGAAGACCAACACGGTGAGGAAGGAGATGAGGAGGCAGGGAATGATGAGGTTGATGGTGTAGAAGAGGGGCAGGCGGCGGATGTAGAAGGAGTAGGTGATGTCCGGGTAGATTTCTTCACAGCAGTTATACTTGATGTCGTGCTTGTATCCGGGTGCATCGATGATCTCCCACTCTCCACTTTCCCAGAAGTCCTTTAGGTTCACCTGTTGAAGCACAAATGAGAAACATTCAACGCCAAATCACAACGTTTTGTTCAGGAAAACTTCAGATCAAAACAGTTTTATGGTGGAAAATGGAGTGCTACTGAGAGGTGAATGAAAATACAAGCTCCAAATGGATGTTACCCAACATGTTTGATGATGTGTACAGAATTATTCAAGTCAACTTTAACTTATCAGAATGACAGAGAGGCAGCTGGTAAAATATGAGTCCTGTCGAAACAAGACAATTTTGATAAAATTCTTAATCATGCCATAGCTGTTTGGAAAAGGGTCTTTTATTTTGAAATTTGGCAATTTTTTCCRCTTTCCCAGTTTTCCTTTGATCCCCTTAATCATGCTAAATTCTGCTTTAATTCAGATTGTAACCATTATCATCCTGACATTTCTTTCTTTCTTTCATTTTATTTATTTATTTATTTATTTATTTATTTATTTATTTATTTATTTATTTATTTATTTTGCATCTACTAGTAATTAATGATTTTTATGCAAATGAAAAAATAGGCTGTAAAAGTTTATTGTTTCCTAACTAACATTTTTCTGCTTATACAGCAATCAATTATTCTAACAGAACTACAAATACAATATTCAATAGAAGTAGACAGGGACATAAAAGTGGTGAAAATCATCAAATAATTTCTCCTCCTCGTGACAGCCCTGCTGACCTTTGAGCCAATCAGCACCAAGTCAATCTTGGCCTTGTCGTAGGTCCAGGAGCCAAACTTCATGGAGCAGTTCTGGTAATCAAAGGGGAAGTACGTGATGTCCATCGGGCAGGAGGACTTGAATATAGCTGGGGGAACCCAAGTGATTGTACCGTCGAATTTCAGCAGAGCTTTGGTCTTGTCTTCCACCAGGAAATCACCCACGGCGCTGTGAGGGAGAGAGTTTAGGTCATTTCATTCTACTAAACAAGCTCAGGAGATTCAAGGCATATGCTGTTGTTGGGGGGAAATGAAAAAGAGAGGTTGCAAATCTCCTTTTTCTATTCAGATGTTGTCTTKAACTGCATTGTTGCCATATTTGACATGTGTTTATAGACATAAAATCATTGCAATCATCATTCACAGTAACTGTCTGATTGACAGTTTTATTTTGTTGTGGAGGTGATCATGTGTGCTCATTTGTTTGTCTGTTAGCAAAATATCTCATGAACAAGTGGGTGGATTTTATTGAAAACCTCAAAGTGATTATTAGATGCACACCTATAACTGATTAACATAATTCAAGAGGGCTGCTGCAAATAATCAGCATTGTTAAACTCAAAATTCAACACAKTGGCAGGTTCCATATCAACAAAACAGAGATTCATAATTTTAGATTATTTTTTATAGATTTACTCAAATTTTCATGTGGATTTTAGAGCCACTATAACACAGTTTCATATAAGATATAAAAAATAAAGTCAAAGATCGTCCTAAACTGTATTTGAGTTTATCTCACTCTCAGCTGAGGCCATTTGACAAGCAACTAATAAATGTGGTTTTATTTATAAAAGGTAAAACTTGTGTCTAAATGTTGCATTAGACACCAAAAGAAAATGTCTGGAACAGCTCTAATTACATCATGTAGATTAACCAAAGTAAAAATAAACAATACAATAAAATAAAATTTAAGTTTCTTCAACAGACCTGAACTTATTATTTGTGAGCAACAACACCTACTTGTTGTACAGGACAATATCTGGCCTCCAAATCTTGTTGGATGGAACTCGAATGAACTCGATCCCATCATAATCAACTGGAGTCCATCTCAGTTTGTAGTCGTTCCACACCTTCAAGTCAGAGTAGAAATTCGTAAAATGATCACACAATGAAAGATGGTTCATTAAGGCTGACGTACAATCACCACTCACATGTCTTAACCACAGATTAGTTTCCATGATCTGATTCACTTCATCCTGAAACAAAAACGTAACCATAGATGAGTTCTTATTTGGTTTTACATTGATTTATTTCTTCTTCACCTTCTTCGTTCTTACCACTTTGACCAGTTGAGATATGGACACTTCAAACTCCACGGTGACAGGATCAGAGACGTTCTCCACTGGTCGGATGAACTGGTTGTACCTTCGAAACAGCCGGCGGAATAATCTGTCCTCGGCTTTAGATGAAAAACAGCCTAAATAAACAGAGAAAAGTGGGGAGAAATGAAGAAACGGAGAAAAAGATTAGCAGAGAGCTGTCAGATAAACTGACCGTGTTTGAATCTGGCTTTGTGATGCTGTCTGAGAAGATCACTGCTGCTAAATTAAACTTGACTCCAGTGAAAGGTCAGTCACTCAAATGGATTTACTATAAGTGTCTGCTAATAAAAAAAACAACACAGAGACTTAAAGATTAATGTTTTGCTCACACTGAGGCTAAAGTTCACCAGTAAATGAGAAACTAAATGAAATGTCAACATTTGATGCTTAAATAGTTGTGAAAGTTTTAGAAACTTAACTCCAGTTCATCAAATTTGACACAAACAGTTTTTATTCTAAACAAAATGCTACACGATTCAGAAGCATAAATGATATGTTTTATGTTTTCAGAATCTGCTCAAACTGCTTGTGCTGCAAATAAAATCTGGATGAAATTGGATTATTCCTATGTACAAAAAGCTTGATCTCTAAATGTCAGTGTGTTAATTGTTTTATTTTATTTTATTATTTTTAGTTTAGGAACATATCTGTAGAATTTTAGGTCTGTCAAAATGTTACAGCCTATAAACAGTCATTATATAAGGCTTCAATATGGTCGAAGACCATTGAGGAGGCAGATTAGAGGGCAGCAGGAGAGAAAGAAAGGCAGGAATGTGGAGGTTAGAGTAGGGTCTCTGACTGTAGGAACAATCCTCATGCAAGAACCGTTCGTACGCACAGATTTGTTCTTAAGTTGTGCGTACGAGTGATTTAGGAGAACTTGTGGCATTCACAGTGGCGTGCACAGACATTTTCGTGGGCAGGTGCTCAAATGTACAAAGAGGGCACCTTGTCCAGTCTACTGAATCAGCAGCTGTCCTAATAATGTGACATTACAGACACATCTTGCACATTGTGCATATTTATCTATTTTAAATCAGATTTTTTTTTCTGTCTGATACAGATGTTTAATGTTCAACACTTTACATGTTGGTTACTGTAACAAACTGGCAACAACAGAACAAAAACTAGTAATGACAATTTTTGTATTGTTTATAAAATAACTATAATCAAGTTTACTGTCACAAAATTACTGATGGCTTTTTGTTCTGTGGAGGATCTTCCTTCAGTCTCTCCATCATAGAGCTGTTTCCATGATCTGGATTCTAACAATTCAGCTTCATCTCTGTCTGATGGAGGAGAAAACATAGAGCTGCTTCTCTGCTGCAGCAAAACACCAACAATATGAAATATGTTTATTTGGGTGAAACGGCTTGGTGACAAAGGTCAGTGCAATAAATTACAACATTTAAACTAATCAGACTATAAATTACTGTCAAAATGTAACACTGTAGCACCAGAGTCGAATTCACAAGGGGGCGAAATTTCCACACTTAGTCCAGATCAAGAGCCAATTTCTGTTAATATTTATTGAAGCAAAAGCAAATTATTCTTATTATACTAATTTTATTTTCCAAATTATGGTTTATGTTCCATTTAGAACACCCAAAACCCAACAAAGAAGAGATTGAATTTAAAAAGAAACCATTGTTAGCATTCATTATTCAATGTTTGACTTTAAAAAGAAAAGAAAATACAGAAAAATAAAACTAAAGCTAATTCTCTTTCCACCCTAAAATCAAAGCATACTGAAAATTTCAAACTTGATTTTCCCAATATTTGCCTCATTAGTCTTTACAGACAACAGGAAGTGAAGTTTAACTTCAGCATCTGAGGTTTGGGGGTAAAAAGTGTGACCAGATCCTGTGGGCCATCACAGTGTGTTATTTTAATATGAACACATTAGACATTCATTCCTCTCTGCTTTGGCTGTTATTACACAACAATGTATTTTAAAGGTTTTTAAGAACAAAAAGTACATATTTTTATTAAATACATTTTAAAATTTATCAAAATATGCTTTGGTTAAAAATATTTTAAGTTTCTTTTTTTATCATGATAAAAAAAAATAACAAAAGCATAAGCAGGCCAGATGATCTGTGCTGTTATCTGTCTGTCCACAGACTGACAGGCAGCTTTCTGAACTGTACGGTACGCGACGGTGTGGCTTCTGAATAAATGAAAATGATTTAACACAGTTGTTTATATTTTTAGCAGCTTTTTTAATTCCAGCTGAGCTGCTAAAAATGACAGATTTTCTTTTCTGGATCTCTGACAGCAGGCCTTCAATCTCTGAACTCGTAAAGTTTTTCTTTTTTGTTTTCGCTGTCATTTTCCTGACTGGACACATCCTTGTATCTGAGACAGGAAACAAAGCCTTATATGGTGTTTTTGGGGTGGTAATGCTAATCTCCTCTCGCGTGCACGAGCAGCTGGATACGAACAGGTGGAATTTACGCAGCTCATTTACACACTTTTCCTGAAGATAGAAGAGTTTGTTGAATCTGACCTGGCATGTTCGTACGAACCCTTCGTACGAACAAAAGTAAGAGTTTTAGGATAAGAATACGAACATGTATGGTGTGAAAGAAAGAAATGCAGAAGTACAGATGGTTGTAGATTTTGCAAAATGAACGAAAGTCAGTAGAGACAAGACAGAATACATGTGTGTGAATGAGAGGGAGGCAGGTGGAAAGGTGAAGATGCAAGGAGTAGATGTCAGAAAGGTGGAAGACTTCAGATATCTGGGGTCAACCATCCAGAGCAATGGGCAGTGCAGAAAAGAGGTGAAGAAGAGGGTGCAGGCAGGATGCAGTGGGTGGAGACGAGTGTCGGGGCTGTTGTGTGACAGAAGGATAGCAACAAGAGTGAAAGGGAAGGTTTACAAGACCGCAGTGAGTCCTGCTGTACGGTTTAGAGACAGTGGCACTGTCTAAAAGACAGGAGGCTGAGCTGGAAGTGGCAGAGATTAAGATGCTGAGATTTTCRTTGGGAGTGACAAGGATGGACAAGATTAGAAATGAGAAGATCAGAGGGACAGTGAAGGTGGAGCAGTTTAAAGATAAAGCTAGAGAAGCCAGGTTGAGATGGTTTAGACGTGTTGAGCAGGGATAGTGGATATATTGGACAAAGATGTTGGAGATGGAGCTGCTGGGCAGAAGGAGAAGAGGAAGACCACAGAGAAGATTCATGGATGTAGTTAAAAAGGACTTGGAGATGGTTGTGTAACGTTAGAGGAGGTAGGGGATAGGATGAGATGGAGGCAGATGATCCGCTGTGGCGACCCCTAAAGGGAGCAGCCGAAAGACGAAGTTGAATAAGGCGTCAGTATATTTAGAAACAAGTAAATTATATGTATAATAGCTGCTAACAAAACCTGACAGAATAAAGAGGCTGGAACACACAAAGAGGCCTTTTTTAAATTATACGTTACTTATTTGTGCCAAAACACATTTTTCCACATACAACTAAAAAAACTACATGAGGTCATATTTTCCATAAAATTATCTATGTCTGTACTTGAGGCAAATTTAGGAAATTACCTGAATTAAAAAAATTTTTTTCAAGTTTTGCCATTAACCTTTTCTTTAACACCCTTCTTCAARCTTTCTTATTAGGGTTATTTTAAAAAAGGGAGTTTTTCTCAGCTCGTGTAAAAAAAAGATATTTCAGTTAAATGCTTGATTAATTAAATCAAAACCTGAAAATCATTCTCTGAAGACTAGATGATGTAAACAAGTTGACAGAAGAAATTTAAAATATGTCTGCAGGAGCTGCAGTGGAGATCAGATTGTAGAAAAGTGCCATGAGCAGTGCTGGAGCTCAGGGTGGCTCAGAGACCCACGCCTGTCTGAGGAGATCGCTGCCGCGTCACCGCCAAGCATCTTTTTATTTACTAATTTACTTTAACTCGTGTTTGTTATAATTTTCTGATCTAGACAGAAGTTGTTCTCATGGCTGCAGACAACAAGCTAAATAACTGATGCATGCAGGAACAAGGAAAGCTCGGGCCGACCTCCTTCCTCAGTTTTTGAGTTGACATCAGATGAGCTCTCAACAAGCACCTTAGAGGTGAATGTGTTGCCCCAAAAGGGCAACTAGGTCAAGTGTATACACACACAAACAGTCACACACACTGAATTGTTTTTTTAGCCTTCCAGAAACTAAAAAACAAAACAAAACATGGATTATAATGGAAACACTGATTGATTATGCTTATTCTCTGCAAACCAAACAAGCAGCGGAACTTTGCATCAATATTTTTCCTCTCACTTATATTTAGTGTTTTATCATCTTTTTTACAGTTTTGTATAAAGTACCTATAAGTAATACTTGCGTGAAAGTACAAATATCTCACCATAAAAGTCTCCTCTAAGAATATTACTTGAGTAACCATTTTAAAGTATCTGACATTCTTTGTACTTAACAAGTACAATTATATTATATAATTTCCAAAATGGCATTAATTAGGAGGTAGGCTGGTAAAAACCAACCCCCTGCATGTTTTACTTGTTCCTCTGCTCCAACACACCTGATTTGAATGAGTCGGTGATTATCAGGCTTCTGCAGAACTTGGAAGCAGTAATTCAATGACTGAATCAGCTGCCAGGCTGAGGCGACCTCCCCCAAAAAAAACTTTCTTTAAAAAGTCCATAATGATTATAATGTTAAAATGTTTGCTCATAAAGATATAGAAGGGAATGATATGGCAGATTATTTAGCTAAACAATATTTAAAACAAGATAGAGTTATGAATATTGCATTTAGTAAATCTGAAATGAAATCTATTATTAAGAAACAAAAAGTATCTGAATGGCAGAAGATTTGGGAGGAGAGTAATAAAGGTCGTCATTTGTTTAGAAAAGAGCAGAAAGTTGGAAAAATGGAAATAATAGGAGGAAATCGGAAAGAACAAGTAATAATGACAAGGTTACGATTGGGACACACAGGTTTGAATAAAACATTACATTTATTAGGCAAACACCCAACAGGAAATTGTGAATGTGACAAGGGCATGGAAAYAGTAGAACATGTAGTAATACAATGTGAAAAATATAAGAAGAGTCGAGAAAAGTTAAAACAAGAATTAAAGAAA